GGCAGCAGCACGGTGGCGCAACTGGTAGAGCTGCTGCCTCTCAGCGAGCAGGTCCTTGGTTCAAACCCCGGTCCAGGGGCCTTTCTGGGTGTAGTTTGCATGTTCTCTCCGTGCATGCGTGGGTTTTCTCCGGGTACTCCGGTTTCCTCCCACAGACCAAAAACATGCATGTTAGGCTGATTGGTAACTCTAAATTGTCCCTAGGTGTGAGTGAGAGAGTGAATGGTTGTTTGTCTCGTTTGTCTCTATGTGTCCCTGTGATGGACTTGCGACCCGTCCAGGGTGTACCCTGCCCCTCGCACAGTGATTGCTGGACATGGGCACCAGCGACCCCCATGACCCAAAATGGAACAAGCGGGTAAAGAAAATGGATGGATGGATGATTTACTAATGTTAATGAAAGGCTGATGTTTCAACATTTATGAAAAGTAATAAATACTGCAGAAACAAAAACTGGTTACAAGTCAGAAAGAGAAAACTTAAAGTCTGAGGGGGTTATCAGTACTTGTAAAGACTTTTGGGTTTCCCTTCTGCACAAAGACAATCCAGCTCTGTGTGCTGGAAGATGTGCTGTGAGGCAATTGAACCTGAAGGGCTCACTGATTGGTACTGAAACCTTATTTTTGAAGTATTGATCCTGGGAACAGCCTGCAGAATGCAAAAACCTCAGCCGCATGGATTTGCTGCCACATCTAACTGTTTAAATCAGGCAATCAATGTCAAGTACTGTATTTCTCCCTCGACCTCTTTAAATGTAATTCCACTCATTGACGTTAAATAGTGGAAACTCTTGGATTAATCAATCTTCAGCTCTAGGAGCATTCTGCAGTTAATAGTCTGGTCTTATCCACTGAATGGTAGTGGTCTTTGTGCGAGCCAGCTGATACTCCCTCTGTTTGATTCAAAGAGGAAATGTGCTATGTGTTTTAATTTCTTTACTGTATTTCTCTATTTCTGCTAAAGAAGTCTTTTAAAACAGTTTTATTTCCAAAACTAAACAAATCAATTACTCTGCCTCTAATAAAGAAACAATAATTAATTTGAAAACGTTTCTTGAACACGTGTGTGTTGATTGGCAGATAAAAATGTGTAAGGTAATGTAATATGCAGGTGTTTTAGGGCTTGGAAGTTAAAATAAATATATATTGCATATTATTTATTTTCTAATAACAATATGCTCCTACAGCGAGCAGGTCCTTGGTTCAAACCCTGGTCCAGGGGCCTTTCTGGGTGGAGTTTGTATGTTCTCTCCGTGCATGCGTGGGTTTTCTCCGGGTGCTCCGGTTTCCTCCCACAGAACAAAAACATGCATGTTAGGCTGATTGGTAACTCTAAATTGTCCCTATGTGTGAGTGAGAGAGTGAATGGTTGTTTGTCTTATTTGTCTCTATGTGGCCCTGTGATGGACTTGTGACCCATCCAGGGTGTACCCCACCCCTCGCACAGTGATTGCTGGACATGGGCACCGGCGACCCCGTGACCCAAAATGGAATAAGCGGGTAAAGATAATGGATGGATGGATGGATGGATGGATGGAATATGCTCCTATGTAACTCCAGCTGACCTTTGTTTTACTGTCTTTTCCAGGTCACAAGTGTCCAAGCCTCAAGGTCGGACATCGTAAAGTCAGGAAACCCTAAATCTACACTAAAGCACATTTGGACAGAAAATGGTAAGGAGATGTCCATCAGTCGGCTGCTGTCTCAGACTTTACATGGCAAAGAAAACAGCACAGCCTTGGATCTTCACTATAACACTCCAGAGCCCTACTCAGAACAAGACCTGTGGGACTGGCTGAGGAACTCCTCAGACCTGCAGGACTCACGGCCACGAGTTAAACGGCGGCCCATGGTTAAGACGGGTAAGTTCAAGAAAATGTTTGGCTGGGGGGACTTCCACTCAAACATCAAGACAGTCAAACTCAACCTGCTGATCACTGGAAAGATTGTGGATCATGGTAATGGCACTTTCAGTGTGTACTTCCGTCACAACTCCACAGGCCAGGGGAACGTTTCCGTCAGTCTGGTCCCACCAACTAAGATAGTAGAGTTTGATGTGGCAACGCAGCAGTCAGTCATTGATTCCAAGGACTCAAAGTCTTTTAACTGTCGTATAGAGTATGAGAAGGTGGAGAAAGGTGCAAAGAACACATTGTGCAACTTCGACCCATCCAAGACCTGCTATCAGGAGCAAACCCAGAGCCATGTGTCCTGGCTCTGCTCCAAACCTTTTAAAGTTATCTGCATCTTCATTTCCTTCTACAGCACCGACTACAAACTGGTGCAGAAAGTGTGCCCAGACTACAACTACCATAGTGATACTCCATACTTCCCATCTGGCTGACGTTTCTGAACAGCGCGCACACCTTGATGGATGAATGGAGCACCGACTGGGAGTTTGACCCGTCCCAGAGAATGTGTCTGTTAGCCATCCTGTCCTCCTGTAATGTATCCATACAAACATCTCTGTAGATTATTTTCCTCAATCGGTGGTTTGAACTCTGTAAAAAGAACAGTTGAGTTTATAAATTACAAAATGTGGTACAATAGAAATGTAAGATGTTCAGAATTAATCATGGAGATTATTGTGGGAACTATCATTGCTATTTTTTATTTTGTCTATGATTTGTGTTGTGTTCCTACTAACTCATATTAGACTGTACAACCTTGTTAGTTTTGGGCGGTTTATTTGTCACTAACAAATTGGGTTACTTTTGTTAGTTTGATGATGATTTACCAACCTTAGTCAAGTGATATTTTATTGTATTTCTTTTTATTTTGTCACATACAGTGCATTAATCTTTGAACAAAAAGGTTTGGAATGAATACCTCTGTTGTGCTTCTTAGGTTCTGGAGCTTTTCCCATGTAAATGAAAACAAAAGAAACTCCTAATCAAGGGGGAAAAAAAACATTTGTTTTTACAAATCTGCAAAACATCTGATGAGGAAAGAGGTATGAGTATAAATATGAGGTTGTCTTGTCTACACGGGGTCAGCTGAGACTGAACATACCTCTACAAAGATCAGTCAGACAATGTCTACCCAACACTTCTCATCTGTTTGATTTGTAGTGAAGCCAGATGTTGAGCCAGCTGGTCAAACACCTTGCTGATTTGTAAGCTGAGGCGTGGGTCTTGCTCATTGTCACATAATATATAAACTGTAATGTATTGAATTCTATATATTAGAGCCTAATTTGTATGAATGATTTGTATTGTACATAGTTTATGAATTTATGCTGCTTCTATACATGTCCCCCATGAGCTGTGTCCCCCCCCCCCCCTTGTTCACCCCATGTATGCTTGTTCTTGGTTCCTCTCTCAAATGAAACGATGTCGCTGCCCTAGATGTGAAGTTCATGAAAACAACAATCCTGTACACAACTTGTAAAACTGACTAAATATATCAAAATGGTTCTCTGATTTTTTTTTTCTTTATTGGGTTATGGTGGGGGGAGTTGAAGATTAAAGTGTAAGGTTAAAACAAAAGTAAATTTTACCACGTGAATTTTGGTGCATGTGCATTCTTCCTGTAATAATGAGTGATGCTTTATTTGTAAAAGATATTTTGCTAACAGAACCGTAATATGTATCAACCATTTAAAGACTGGTTACATTGCCAGGTGCACAATTAAAAACATATATTCATTGGCCAAAAATTAGTCTGAGAAAACAGGGAAATTTGGAAGAACAAGGAAAACAGAAATACTTCTTTATCCCCTATGTATTAGGGCTGTAACAGTACACATACATTATTTTAAGTTTTGTGCAACTGGAAAAATGAGCCAAGCATTCTTGCCAGTAGGTAACAGGCTATGTTCCAAAAACTAAAGTAAATAATTGAACTTCTTTTTGATTTGTTTCAGTTAATTAGTTAAACCCTATGCAGCAAACATGGCAGAACACTATGAGTGCTTCTGTTTTGTTTATTTATCAGTGGTTTTACTCTACCCCCCTTAAACAAAAATGTAAATCAAGCCCATTGGACACAATCTGACTCCAAAACAACCTCAGAAAAAGAGGAATAACCCTTATAAACTTCTTATATAGAGACCTAGCTGGTCAGAGGACACTGCAGGACCTAAAAAATGCAATCATTCTCTCAGTTTTATTCAGCACATATAACTCAGGTACCTTTACCTAGTAATTTACAGATCCATTTCAATTCTCACAGCTGTTTAGAATAAAGGTTTTGTTGTCCATCCATGCAAATCATCGTAGGGTGCATTCACACCTGATAGTCCAGTAGACTTGGTTCGGTTGGGGATCAATATTCATGACATTTTGTTTACATTTGAGCTGGTGCGTTTGCATTCACACTGCACTATGCAGTCGAGCCAACCTGTTGAACCAACCTGTTCCCCCGCTCGCCTGTGGGGGCGCTGCACCAAGAACTACTGAAAGAAACAACACAAAAACCTCTGAAGACACGTCTTCTTCTTCTGTGAATAAAAATAAAAATGAAGTGGCATTAAGTTTTAGCAGTTTTAGGAGTTATATTTTGTCATTTTTCAAAAATGGACTCAGCATGAACAGAAGATGAGGCAGAAGATGAGGCAGAAGACCATGGAGAATATTGTTTTTCACATAAGGCAGCTGACGACTCCATATAAGGTAAGAGAAATGCGTGTTTGTTTGCCCTGCGCCGTACTCCACTTCTTGCTTGTGGAGCAGGTCCGGTCTGTTTACATTCACACTGTACTCGAACCGCGCTGGAGTTCTCTTCTACCGGATTGAGAACTAGGTTTATCCCGGGCCAGAGTTCACCTTTTTGTTCCGGGACAGAGTTCGATGGCGCATTCACACCTCCCCAAACGAACCAGACTTTCTAGGAAAACGAGCTAGAGTTCGATTAAAGCGGACTAAACAGGGCTGGTGTGAATGTATCCTTAAAGTCAACAGAGCAAAAAGCACCCCTGGATCAGAACAAAATCTATCCTTGTTTAACTATAATTCTCCCAGTTAGAAACTTCAGTCCATGTCTTAATGAAAGACACTTCACACGTCAGTCTGGCTGTCATCACTTAAAGTTCTGTCTCAGTTTGTTTCTGCCTCAGTTTCCTTTTCATAGTCCCTCACTTTTCAGTATACACACACACTTTTTTGCCAAAATAGTTTCTCATAAGGTTCACTGTGGAGTTCGTCAGGGGGCCAGCAGCTGTTTGAATTTAATTCCTGCCCATCGTTTCCTCCGATATATCCAAGAGACGAGGTCTCTATATCTATGACGAGATGCATGCATACGTTTACTCACATAAACATCTTAATGCAAGTCTGCTCTGTTTACCAAAAGCAGTTAAGGCAACTTCTGTCATAAACTTTCCCTTATTTGTTTACTGCCATGACAGTTGGCAGTCCGTTGTTTCTGCCACAGTCAAAAAGGCAAAGGGGCAAGTTCAATGAAACACTGTTGGACTGCGTCCAGACTGTTGGACTTTCAGGAACTGACAATTTACTGGTCTCACTCAACTCAACACTCAGCACAACAAAGGCCCTCCCTCACACTGTTCAGATCAAGCCAGTCACCACTCAGTACCCAGCATTTCAGAGTTAACCCTTTCTGACCCAGATATTTTCGTCCAGTCAGGTTTTCGGCCTTAGTATTGATTTTCTGAACCAAACAGCACCCTCCGAATCCCTAATTCCACAGTGAAACCTAACCCCCTCAATTATTAATGCCCATTATCCGTTTAGATGAAGTCTCACCTGGTCAGTCCAGAATCAAAAGTTTGTTTGGGTCCCAGAAGTGACGATCACAGACTCCTGCAGTCAGCCCCTTATTTCTCTACAAAACCTACATCAAGATTGAGGGCTGGAGGTTTTACATTCCAGGCTAATCAGATGTTTGAAACGTCTGAAATGGTCACCTCAGGGACCCTATTTGCAGCACCCAAACTGTTGTGGAAAAAAAGGATATTTCCAAACAGACAAAGGTGTAGTTCATCAGATTTATTTACAAAGCTTTGGAGAACAGTCTAGCATTCGCAGAAGATCAAGGCACCTACACGATCACACTCTTATCAATGGCCCCATTCTTCTGAAACACTGGCCTGCTCTAACTTCCTGAACCTGGCACGTTAGTTTTATAGAATAACCTCCAACCCAGCCCTTAACCCTTCACTCCATGTGTGAGTGGTCATTGAAAGGTCCGCTGCAGACAGGAAGGAGTGGATCTGAGTCAAGGACTCTGCTTGAAGACATGTCACCATATCCTATCAATTGTATCATATCAGTTTCAAATCAATCAATTCTTGAGGATAAGAAAACAATTTTTTTCTGTTCCTCACTGACCAAGACTGATTGTTACATGGAACACTTTATTGTTCATATCACAGTACAGGACCAAAAGGTATGGAGCGTGGTGAGTGCAAATAATACATATTAGCTTGACAGTGCAAGGTCCTATTGTCCTGCTCCAAGGGGTCCATGTGATTTAAACCCTAAATCATTGCAAGGTAGTTTTTATACTTCCTCAAAGTCCTACTTTGTTTTAGATAGGAAAAAACTGAATATAGCTGGAACGGGACCAATATGGCACCTGACATGTGAGCTGCGTTTTGGCTGAGCTCCCGATGGCCCCACTGAAAAACTCCTTTTTATGATTATATCCTAGCTGCCTTCAAGCTGGATTTTGTCTCTGAGACTGGTGTCAAAGTTTAACTGAATCAACAAACTGGTAATATGACCTCTAAGCCAAAAAAGACCAACGCTTAGGCCTCTTCTCACCCTTGGCCTATTGTTACCATTACAGCCTTGGGCTGTTGTGATGGAGGAACAGGTGGGACAGGTGTGTCTGCCCCACCTTCGCCGAGCTCTGTAGGGACAGATGAGTTGGTTCTGAGGTCAGACATCCTGGCCTCAACTAAATCCGAAGTTATAGCTATAATTAAGATGGAAATAAGAGTGGCTCTGAAGGATGATTTTAATTTTAGCAAGAGTGGATTGCAAGTGATCCGAGCTGACTTTGCCAACACCACTGCGGGCCTCGGAGCAGAGCTCGATCAAATTAAACGGGGCGCTTCAGAGGCTGAGAATGGACTTTCTTTATGCTCAGATGAGATGGAGAGGCTGCGTGGGATGGTGATAGAGTTAAAGAGTGAAGTCCATTGGTTTGAAAAACAGTTTGAATCCATGGAGGTGCATATGAGACATGATAATGTTAAAATGATTGGACTTTACTTGAGTCAGTGGGTGAATGCTCATCTACAATTGTACAATTGTTAATGGAAGTCCTAAAACTTAATTAGTTGCTGCTGATTTATTATGTGTACCAGACACCGGACATAAGAGACTCAGATGGAGGACCCAGAGTTATTGTGGCCAGGCTTTACTACCATCAAGAACGTGTGGAAATACTATGGCAGGTGTGCATCGGTGGTCCAATCCACTTCAAAGGATCAACCATATTCATTGCACCTGACTACATCCCCAGAGTGGCAAGGGCATGAGCAGCGTTCAGGGAGGCGAAGCGACTCCTGCGGAATCAG